AATAAATTACATCAACTTCACCAAAAAGATATAAACTTATCAGGGTATTTTTGAACTTGATTTATTTCTGTTGACGCAAACTTATAGCAAATCACAACATTTTCTTTAATTACTTTTACATTAATTCTTCCTCATTATATTTTGTCAGCAGGGGGGGGGGAGTTTCACTTTCTAGAAGCATTACAATATTCCGAAACATAAAAACTGTCCTATTAGTTGTTCCAAGTTCTCCAGTCAGGCATGTTTGAGGTTGGTATTCATCAAGACCTGCCAGGGAAGAGAAAAGTCAAACATAAGTACTAATGAGGGTCACTCTTAATCATTTACACCTTAGCGTCAGTATGTACATTCTCCATACAGTTCTCTATAAAATTCCTAAGCGGCTAAAAAGGAGAATTTGTTTAACAATCAACAACTTCTTTAGTTGGTGATCGTTTCCTTTATTCTCGCGACCTTAAGGTGGGATTAAGGAAGGATATTTTAAGGAGAATTTAGATGCTAGTCACTCTCCGGGTTGGTCAAAAGTTACCTCATTTTAGTGCAGCAAACAGCTATCGATATGATGAAAGTTCGAACCCCTCCAAAGCCTTTAAGCTATTTTTTGTGGCTACTGCCTCCTTCAGGAAGGCAAGTTATATATGTCGTCGAGATGAGTAAGAGAATGAGCTGCAAGTCCCATTTCTCATTTCTACTTACTTTCACTGAAATGGTCTTCCTTGGCCGCGTTAGCCGCGAAAACGACGAAATACACGACGACCACGACGTATTGCACGACGAATTGTTCGACGAACAGGACGAACACGACGTCTGATCCTACGTCCTATTCTGCGTCCAATACGTCTAAAGCGAATAAAGGGGTCAGCTGACTTTTCCATTGCTGTTACGTCACCTTCGTCACTAACTTCGTCTCTATCATCGTCATTATCGAATGCTCTTTCGTCAAACTCCTCGTCTTCGGCCGCCACTTCGCTTTCACTGAGTGACAGAATAAAGATTGCAAAAGATAAACTTGAACGAATTGGTTATTTATTACAGCTGGTTTAAATAGGGGCCTCTAACTAACTTCGTCTCTATCATCGTCGTTATCGAATGCTCTTTCGTCAAACTCCTCGTCTTCGGCCGCCACTTCGCTTTCACTGAGTGACAGAATAAAGATTGCAAAAGATAAACTTGAACGAATTGGTTATTTATTACAGCTGGTTTAAATAGGGGCCTATATAACCTATCAACATCGAGGTCACAGCACAACACCAGGATCTACGTTCCCTACTCCTGGCGAGAAGAGCGTGGATTCTCCTGGGTTCCCCTGCTAACCAGTACAGAGGAAATGCAGGAGACGGTTTATCATCCTTTTCCGAGGAAACTAGAACTAACCATTTGCAAGTGTTACAGTTAGGGCAACAAATTCTCCACAATTTCTTTAAGACCCTGGCTTCATTTTTTGCTGAGACTCGTCACTCAGATCATTTGACCGCGCAAGTTTCCAAAACTATCAAAAATGATTTTATCTTCCTCAACGTACCTTCTGGGGATTGCCATATCATTGTCCTCTAGATCCTCTTCATCGAACTCTCCATCGTTCTCTTTCATGTCGTATTCACTGAAATGTGAAGAAAAAACAATGAAACCATTTCCACTGCAGCACTTTAGAATTTCCAATAAGTCTAATGCATAATCCACTTCGGTAGAAGTGGCATCTTTATTTCAGTCCATTTTGTAACTACAGTTCTCATTTCCAGTTATTTTGTGATGCAACCTACCCTCGAAGTTTTTCTGCTTCATATTCATCTGCTGTCTCGGCCAACTCATTTTCAGTTAGTGCGACTGAAAAGCCGACAGCGAGTACAAAGCCAAACAGAGCCAAAATAACGGATGTCTTCATTTTGCCTTCTCCGTTGGAACTTGAGTTCTCAACTGTTGGTAGCCCCAAAGTTCACTGCTTTTATGCATCCCATTCTGGGTGATATTAAAAATATGCTTCTTCCCGATCCTCAATTCACTCGATATCTGATCATGGAATGTAAACCCTCGAGAATCTGTAAAAAATAGACTGAAGAATACACTTGTAGGTCTTAAAGATATTAATCCATCGATCAATGAATTTATCGGATATCCAATATAGTTTGAAAGTATTTGCAATCGTAAAGTTTTGGAGAAAGCACATTTCAAGATAAAAGAAAAAACAGCCATTCTGCGTTTATTTTCTTTTATTCATCTATTTATCAGAGATACCTGTTTTCTGTATAAAGCGAGAATTAACAGGCCTCGTAAGATTGAGCAAGCTTGTTTTGTAATCATTGTTGGAACAATTCTCGATTATGTAATGCTTTATTGTATTCATAACCCTATATCACCCGATATCTGTTCATGGAATGTAGAACTTTGAAAATCTGTAATTTCTAATTATTTCCATCGGTTTATTCGTGAGGTTTAAGTATAATTTATTTTGAAGATAGCAACATTTACTTCAATTTCATTTCTCTGATAAGTTAGAATGATGTGGAAACCCATTTGTTTTCTTTCATCCATTCACCTTTAATACCTGTTTTCTGTTTATAGCGAAAGTAGGCGGTTCATGGAAGATTGAGCAAATATATTTTGACAACACCAGCTGTACCACAACAAAATTGAATTCATACTTGGTTGACGGAGCGTAAAACACTTTGAATAGGAAATACGTATTTCTTTCTTGAGAACGCAACGTCTATTTTATTCAAATTCCCATATCACCGGATATCTGATCACGGAATATAGACCCTCGAAAATCTATTTAAAATAAAAGATGCATAATTTTCCGTCTTTTAATGACGTTATCAAGTAAATCACCTAGTTTGATAGTAATTATTTGTTTGAACGTTTAATGATTTCAATTAAAGCTTTTCCTTTAGGTCTGCTTTTTTTTATCATTATTAATTTACAAATAGAAACACTTATACATCAATTTCATTTCAATAAAAACCATTTGAAAAACACATACCATACCCATATCAGTAGTTTTAAAAACAACGATTGATATTAAGTAATATTATATTTTTCTGTCGGAGTCATTAACATACACCCACTCGCTGAAGGAGTAGTTCGCCTCAGGAGCCAGATAGGAATTGTAATTTCCCCCATTATAACGTACACATGAAATTCAAGCAGTTAACCTAACCTCTCCCATTTTTTTTCAAATATTACAATACAATACAATACAATATTTAGTTGCCATATACGACATTTACACATGGAAAAAAATGAAGAATATTTAAATGGCGAGAAAATGAAAGAAACCACGAGGCTTATAACAAGTCAGGCTTTTCACTTAAAATAACTAATCTTATTAGAAACAATATGGACTTATGGTAATTAACTTTGACCGCGCACACGTACACACGACACACATATTAACTAAGTTAGTTAAGAAATAGGAAATATGTATTGTTTTTTTGAGAACTAGTGTCAGAATTTAACGAATTATAAAAGTTTGGACCTTTTTGTTCAGATTCGTTCCATATCAAACGGAAGGACTGAGCATTCCTAGTATTATAATTGTGGATATTCACCGCAACATATCTGATCAAGGCAATGTCTATACGATATCTGATCAAGGAATATAGACTCTTGAAAATCTATAAAAAAACATGCATGATTTTCCGTCTTGTAATCACGTTATCAAGTAAATCACCTCGTTTGATAATAATTATTCCGTTGAATTCCAAATTATTTCCATTATAGCTTTTTCTTAAGGTTTGAGTTTCTTATCATTATTATTTTACAGATAGAAACACTTATACATCAATTTCATTTCATTAAAAACGATTTGAAAAATTCATACCACACCCATATCAATAGTTTTAAAGACCACGATTAATATTGAGAAATGTTATATTTTCTGTCGGTATCAATAACATACACCCACTCGCTGAAGGAGCAGTTCGCTTCAGGAGCCAGATAGGAATTTTCATTTCCCGCACTAAAAAAGTACACATGAAATTCAAGCAGTTAACCTAACCTCTCCCATTTTTTTTTAAATACATGCTGTACATCCGACTTCAGAAGACTTGCGCTCATCTGTGAGGCGTGCTTGAATAAGTTTCATGATAGTATGTCGATGCATGAACTAATCACACGTCGAAGAGGCAGCGACATTAATTTCAATTCCTGTTTCTATTGCAAAAACTGTGGGGATATTTACCGACTGATCAACCCAAAATGAGAAAATATTTGGCGTGATTTTTATTTTTCCAATGCCCACAATAGAGTACTGTTGTGGTAAGTGTTCGTTCTCTTGTTGTTGAATGCATGCAAATCACTGTGCGCGCAAAAGTGTTATGAAAATGTCCAACCATGAGGTGTTCATAAATGAAAGAAACATCTAATTTTACTCGGAAAGAAATGTGTAAATATTGTGTGAAAAATGTAGAAGAGTCTTAAAATTCACAATTTAGATACATTTAACACTTTAAAAGGTTTATTTTTGGCCAAGCCCGATATCTCCCTCGCCAATTCCATTCCTGTGCCAAAACTGTAGGGAACAACCCGGTAATGAGGAAATATTTGAGTCTTTTTTACTGTTCTCATGTCCGCAGCATCAATGAGGACAAGCTTTTGCATACTTTTTTTTCTAAATCTTACCACTAAAACTTTGGTCCAGTTGATTCAAGCAGAGCACACGAGCCCTTCCATAAGTTACCTTTATGTTTTCACAACCTAAATAGTTGTTGTGGGTGAGTATCCTATTTTATTTTCTTCTAGTTCTTTCGGCATAAGAGAATAGCATGGCTGCGTGGCGTGTGCGCGTAAATTCTTATCTTCGAGTGTTCATAATATAATTCATATCTCTGCCCACCACGAGCAACCTCATTTTGCTCATTTTCATACTCTCCCGGAACTCTAGACGAAAGAAAAACTTTCGAAAAGAAACAAGACACAGCCAGAAAAGCTAAGTCATGACGAGAAAAAAAAATTGAAATAAATTACATCAACTTCACCAATCTGAACTTGATTTATTTCTGTTGACGCAAACTTATAGCAAATCACAACATTTTCTTTAATTACTTCTACATTAATTCCTCCTCATTATATTTTATCAGCAGGGGGGGGAGTTTTACTTTCTAGAAGTATTACAATATTCCGAAACATAAAAACTGCCCTATTAGTTGTTCCAAGTTCTCCACTCATGCATGTTTGAGGTTGGTGTTCATCGAGACCTGCCAGGGAAGAGAAAAGTCAAACATAAGTACTAATGAGGGTCACTCTTAATCATTTACATCTTAACGTCAGTATGTACATTCTTCATACAGTTCTCTATAAAATTTATAAGCGGCTAAAAAGGAGAATTTGTTTAACAATCAACAACTTCTTTACTTGGTGATCGTTTTCTTTATTCTCGTGACCTTAAAGTGTGATTAAGGAAGGATATTTTAAGGAGAATTTAGATGCTAGTCACTCTTCGGGTTGGTCAAAATTCATTTTAGTGCAGCAAACAGCTATCAATATGATGAAAGTTCGAACCCCTCCAAAGCCTTTAAGCTATTTTTTGTGGCTACTGCCTCCTTCAGGAGGCCGAGTTATATATGTCGTCGAGATGAGTGAGAGAATGAGCTGCAAGTCCCATTTCTCATTTCTACTTACCTTCACAGAAATGGTCTTCGTTGGCCGCGTTAGCCGCGAAAACGACGAAATATACGACGACCACGACGTATTGCACGACGAATTCTTGGACGAACAGGACGTCTGATCCTACGTCCTATTTTGCGTCCAATACGTCTAAAGCGAATAAAGGGGTCAGCTGACTTTTCTATTGCTGTTACGTCACCTTCGTCACTAACTTCGTCTCTATCATCGTCGTTATCGAATGCTCTTTCGTCAAACTCCTCGTCTTCGGCCGCCACTTCGCTTTTATTGAGTGACAGAATAAAGATTACAAAAGATAAACTTGAACGAATTGGTTATTTATTAGAGCTGGTTTAAATGGGGGCCTATATAACTGATCAACATCGAGGTCACAGCACAACACCAGGAGCTACGTCCCCTACTCTGGCGAGAAGAGCGTGGATTCCCCTGGGTTCCCCTGCTAACCATTATGGAGGAAATGCAGGAGACGGTTTATCATCCTTATCCGAGAAGACTAGAACATCTAATGATTTCATCTTCCGCAACGTACCTTCTGGGGATTGCCATATCATTGTCCTCTAGATCCTCTTCATCGAACTCTCCATCGTTCTCTTTCATGTCGTATTCGCTGAAATATGAACAAGAAATCCACTTTCAGAAAAATAATTCATTTATGAACTTAACTTTAGATTCCATAATTTGAAACGAAAGCGTCAATAAATAAATTCTCCCCCCCCCTTCCGCTGGCTCAATGGATTGTCTTCGGAGGAATTGCCATTTCCAAATATTTTTTAGATGCAACCTACCCTCGAAGTTTTTCTTCTTCAAATTCATCTGCTATCTCGGCCAACTCATTTTCAGTTAGTGCGACTGAAAAGCCAACAGCGAGTACAAAGCCAAACAGAGCCAAAATAACGGATGTCTTCATTTTGTCCTCTCCGTTGGAACTTGAGTTCTCAACTGTTGGTATCCCCAAAGCTCACTGCTTTTATGAATCCATTCTGGGTGATATTAAAATCTGTTTCGTCCCGATCCTCATTTCACTCGATATCTGATCATAGAATGTAAACCCTCGAGAATCTGTAAAAAATAGACTGAAGAATACACTTGTAGGTCTTAAAGATATTAATCTATCGTTTAATGATTTTATCAGATATGCCATATAGTTTGAAAGTATTTGCAATCGCAAAGTTTTGGAGAAAAGGCATGTCAATACAAGAAAAATACCCATTTTGCGTTTATTTTATGTTTTTCATCTATTTATCAAAGATACCTGTTTTCTATATATAGCGAGAGTTAGCAGGCCACGTAAGATTGAGCAAGTCTGTTCTGTAATCATTGTTGGCACAACAGCAAATTGAAACTTCTAGTTAGGGGATGGAGTGTAAATTAATTTGAAATAGGAAATAAGTATTATTTTCTCGATTATGCAATGCTTTATTGTAATTCACATCCCCATATCACCCGATATCTGTTCATGGAATGTAGACCCTTCAAAATCTGTAAAAAATAGATTGAAGAATTTCTTATTCACCCTTGAGGTAAAAAAAAAAGATGGAATGTCCTAAGCGTTCGTTTTTCCCAGAGTTTGCTAATATTTACTCGTGTAAATTTCTTTATTTTCCATAGCCTCTCCTGGAGGTTTAAGCTTCTTTCATTTACAGATTGGAAAAACTAAAACTTGAATTTCATTTCATTTAAAAAAGATTTGATTGACACATACTTTGCCAATATTAGTGACTTTCAAGAATGTAAACCCAAGAAAATCTGTAAAAATAGATGAAATAATACAATTGTTACCACTAAATATAAAAATCTCAATATATCATCCTAAGAATTCGCCTTTCTTGTCATGATGCATGTTATTAAACAAACTTAACAGTATTCCATAAGAATTCCCTAAGGTTTGAGTGTTTTTCTTATTTTGTAGACTTTACTACAATTTCAGTTCATTGCAAAAAAATTATTAACACACTCATGACCAAACAAATGGCTTCAAAGACCACGATTGACCTCAAGAAAGATGACAAGACGAAATAATATCTTAATTTCCTAATTATTGATTGTTGGCGAGAGAAATTGCGATTGAGTTCCATTTTCTAAAGTGGTACCTCAGGGATCAGCTTCTAACGTATCTGTCAAAATATTTCTAAAAGTATTTCTGCATAGAGACTGCAGCAGTTACATAAGAGCATTTATGGGTCAACAGTAGCAATTTCTAATTATTTCCATTGGATTTTCGTGAGGTTTAAGTATAATTTACTTTAAAGATAGCAACATTTACTTCAATTTCATTTCTCTGATAAGTTCGAATGATGTGGAAACCCATTTTTTTCCCTTTCATTCATCTATTCACCTTTGATACCTGTTTTCTGTTTGTAGGGAAAGTAAGCGGTTCTTGAAAGATTGAGCAAATAAATTTTGACAACACCAGTTCGGTTGATGGAGCGTAAAACACTTTGAATAGAGCGCAATGTCTATTTTATTCAAATTCCTATATCACCCGATATCTGATCACAGAATATAGACCCTCGAAAATCTATAAAAAAAAAAGGAGATGCATGATTTTCAGGTTTCATCTAGTTTGACAATAATTGTTCGTTTGAATGCCTAATGATTTCAATTAAAGCTTTTCCCTAAGGTCTGATTTTTTTTATCATTATTAATTTGCAGATACAAACACTTGTATAACAATTATATTTCAATAAAACCATTTGGAAAACACATATCACGCCTATATCAGTAGTTTTAAAGACCACGATTGATATTAAGTAATATTATATTTTTTTGTCGGAGTCATTAACATACACCCACTCGCTAAAGGAATAGTTCGTCTCAGGAGCCAGATAGGAATTTTAATTTCCCCCACTATAGCGAACACATGAAATTCAAGCAGTTAACCTAACCTCTCCCATTTGTTTTCTAAATATATGCTGTACGTTCGACTAAAGAAGCCTTGTGTTCATCTGTGAGGCGTGCTTGAATTAAGTAGCGTTGCGGTAAGTGTTGTTCTTTTCGTTGCAGTTGTGGCAGCGACATTAATTTCAATCACTGCTTCTGTGCCAAAACTATGGGGATATTTACCAACTGATCAACCAAAAATGAGAAAATATTTGACATGATTTTTATTGTTCTAAAGTCCATAATAAAGTATTGTTGTGGTAATGTTCGTTTTGTTGTTCTCGTTGCTGTCGTTGTTAAACGCATGCAATTTACTGTGTGTGCAAAAGTTTCATGATCATGATAATTTCCGACCATAAAGTGTTCAAAAGTGAAAGAAGCAGCTAAATTTACTTGGAGAGAAATGTGCTTCCTGCTCATATCCAAATATTGTTTGAAAAATGTAGTTTCTGATAATGTACAAAATAGATATATTTACCACTTTAATAGGTTTCTTTGGCCAAAACCGATGTCTCCCTCGCCAATTCCATTCCTTTGCCAAAATTATGGGGATCAACCCGGTAATGAGGAAATATTTGAATTCTTTTTTACTGTGCTCATGTCCACAGCATCAATGAGGACAGTCTTTTACATTCTTTCTTTTCTAAGTCTTACCACTAAAACTTTGGTCCAGTTGATTCAAGCAGGGCACACGAACCTTTGGAAAAGTTGCTCTTATGTTTTCATCACTTAAACAGTTGTTGTGGGTGAGTATCCCCTCATATTCCTTTCGTTCTTTCTGTATATTTCAATGGCTACATTGTCGTTACTCTTATAGAAAATATTAATGGCTCCTTAGCCTGTGTGTAAGAAATTTTATCTTCGAGTGATGATGATATCACTTTAACATCTGTGCCCTTCAAGAGCAAACCTATTTTATTCTAGCGGACCTCCAGACGAAAGAAAAACTCTCGAATAGAAACAGAACACAACCAGGAAAGCTAAATCATTTCAAAAAGTTAAAAAAAAATTACCTCAACTACAAACAAAAAGAAAATGAAACTGATCAAAGTCACAAGAAAAACAAAAACCACATAGCCAGGTATTTCAAAACTTGATTTATTTCCATTGACACAAACTTATGAACAACACTTTCGTTAACTACTTCTGCATTACTTCCTTCCCATTATATTTTGTCGGCAGCTGGGGAGTTTTACTTTCAAGGAGTATTACAATATTGCGAAGCATAAAAAGCTCTCTTATTAGTTGTCCCCAGCTCTCCATTTATGCATTTTCGAGGTTGGTATTCATCAAGACATGCTAGGAAAGAGAAAACTAAAACATAAGCACTATCAGCATATATATTCTTCATACTGTTCTCCATATATTTCCTAAGGTGCTGACAAGGAGAATTTGTTTAACCATTAAGACCTTCTATAATTGGTGATCGTTTCCTTTTATTCTCGTGACGTTAATGTATGATGCAGGGGGGAGGGGGGGTATTTGAAAAAGAATTTAGATGCTAGTCACTCTTCGGGGTGGACAAAAGTTTAACATGTGGCTTGATAGCTCATTTTAGTGCAGCTAAACCGCTTTCCTTGCGACGAATACTCGAGTCCTTTACGCTATTTTTCGTGGCTACTGTCTCCTATAGGAGGCAGATGTTTCCCATCTGTTTTCCGATACTACTTATTGTTTCTTTCCGAGTATCTTTATAGTTTAACATTTGTATTCGATAAACAGTCGAGTTCTTTCCTTTTGTGTTTTCTGGCTTTTAGCCACTAGCACATTACTTTTCTTTTGTGATGAGGAATTACAATCCTGTTAGTCTCCCAAAAAGCTGTTTTTTACTCCTGTAACGAAGATTGCCATGATGTTGTCCTACGAAATTTTCTTGTGATGTTCAGTTTATCATTTATCATCCGCCTAAGTAATAAGCTGCTGTATTTCATTTTCCACTTATGAAAAAGCAATGCAACAGCGATACAAAGATTCTCTTCTTTTTCAGGTCCATTGTATTTTTAGTTCGGGAAGGAATGATATTAAAGCGAAGAATAGTTAGCAGGTATATTCCTTTTCAATTCCACTTTACTTGTTTTCAAAGGAACCTTTGCCATTAATTCAAACAAGAAAAAGGTTAAAATTAAGTAACGCAAAGAAGCCTGTTGAAAAAAAATTGTAGATGCTTTTTGCAGATTAACTTTTTAAATGTGAAGCATTTTCTAGATACCATTTTCTTATGGGATCATGGTGTATGAAGGTGCGTACGTACGTATGTGGTCGCTTTGCCCTTGCTAACATCCCTAGAAGAGGCAAAGCCAGCTGCACCTCCCATTTCTTATTTCTATTTACCTTTACTGAGATGATCTTCGTTAGCCGCGACGAAAACGACGAACTGTACGAGGAACACGACAAAGACCACGTATGATCCTGCGTCCTAATCGTTTAACGAAAGAGATACCTAATTAGATTGATATTAAAACTATTTACAATGATCCAAAAACAACTAAGTTATACATATTTACATTTAAATCAGAAATCCAGATGATTTGCACAAAATAAGTTTCAGTTTGCTTTTAAAACAGTTTATGTTCGAGCCAATGGGCTTGGAGTTTATCCCAACTTCCTCAGCATGAAGCGACTAAGAGTATAACTACTCCCCACTGGATGGGATACTATTCCATATCAAGGTTACCCCCCCCCCCACAGCATTTCATCAGGCTTCCCTAACAATTCGCCGATACTCATTTATACTCCAAAGTAGAGAGAGACACTCTGTGAATAAAGTGACTTGCCCAAGAACACAACACATTGATCCATATCCAAATAGTCTCAAACAATTATTAATTTGCAAATAAAATATTTAGTTACAAACATGACGCTATCAACATTGCTGTGATCCCAGCAGTATGATGGAGGCGTGTCTTCTGAACTTCGTAATAAACCCTACTCACCGTAGAGTCTCTGTGGCTTAGTGGTAGAGCATCGGACCACGGAATCCGAAGGTCTGACGTTCGATTTCTCATGGGGAACTCAGAATTTTTTCTTTGTCCCACGCTCGTGACAAGACAAAAAAATCTTAATTCTCTAATTATTGATTGGTGTCAAGCAAAATTGTGATTGAGTCCCATTTTCTAAAGTATACAAAGTATTTCTGGATAGAAACCGGAGCAGTTACATAAGTACATTTATGAGTCAACAGTAGCAATTTCCAACTATTTTCATGGGTTTTTCTTGAAGTTTAAGCACAATTTACTCTATAGATAGCAACATTTACTTCAATTTCATTTCTCTGACAAGTTAGAATGATTTTGAAACCCATTTCTTTTCTTTCATTCACCTATTCACCTTTGATAACGCAAAAGTGTTATGAAAATGTCCAACCATGAAGTGTTCATAAGTGAAAGAACCATCTAATTTTACTCGGAAAGAAATGTGCAAATATTGTGTGAAAAATGTAGAAGATTCTTAAAATTTACAATTTAGATACATTTAACACTTTAATGGGTTATTTTTGGCCAAGCCCGATATGTCCCTCGCCGATTCCATTCCTGTGCCAAAACTATAGGGATCAACCCGGTATTGAGGAAATATTTGAATCTTTTCTACCGTTTTCATGTCCGCAACATCAATGAGGACAAGCTTTTGCATACTTTCTTCTCTAGATCTTACCACTAAAACTTTGGTACAGATGATTAGAGTAGGGCACCTAAGTTACTTTTATGTTTTCACAACCTTAATAGTTGTTGTGGGTGAGTATCCCCTTTTATTTTCTTTTAGTTCTTTCTGCATATTCCAAAGGCTACATTGTCGTTACTCATAAAGAGAATAGCATAGCTGCGTGGCGTGTGCGCATAAATTCTTATCGAGTGTTAATAATATAATTCATATATCTGCCCTTCACGAGCAACCTCATTTTACTCTCGCGGAACTCCAGACGAAAGAAAACCTCTCGAATAGAAACAAGACACAGCCAGAAAATCAAAGTCATGACGAGAAAAAAAAATTGAAAATAAATTACCTCAACTTCACCAAAAAAATATAAACTTATCAAGGTATTTCTGAACTTGATTTATTTCTATTGACGCAAACTTACAGCAAATCACAACATTCTCTTTTATAACTTGTACATTAATTCCTCCTCATTATATTTTATCAGCAGGTGGGGATTTTTACTTTCTAGAAGCATTACAATATTCCGAAACATGAAAACTGTCCTATTAGTTGTTCCAAGTTCTCTACTCATGCATTTTCGAGGTTGGTATTCATCAAGACCTGCTAGGGAAGAGAAAAGTCAAACATAAGTACTAATGAGGGTCAGTCTTAACCCTTTACACCTTAACATCAGTATGTACATTCTCCATACTGTTCTCTATACATTTCCTTAGCGGCTGACAAGGAGAATTTGTTTAACAATCGATAGCTTTTTTAGTTGGTGATCGTTTCCTTTATTCTCGTGACCTTAATGTTTGACTCAGGAAGGATATTTTAAGGAGAATTTAGATGCTAGACACTCTTCGGGTGGTCAAAAGTTAGCTCATTTGAGTGCAGCAAACAGCTATCGATATGATGAAAGCTCGAGCCCCTCCGAAGCCTTAAAGCTATTTTTTTGTGGCTACTGCCTCCTATACTCCAGGAAGCCAAGTTATATATGTCGTGGAGATGAGTGAGTGAATGAGCTGCAAGTCCCATTTCTCATTTCTACTTACCTTCACTGAAATGGTCTTCGTTAGCCGCATTAACCGCGAAAACGACGAAACATACGACGACCACGACGAATTGCACCACGAATTCCTCCGCGAACAAGAGGAATACGACGTACAATCCTACGTCCTATTCTGCGTCCAATACGTCTAAAGCGAGTAAAGCGAGTAAAGCGAGTAAAGGAGTCAGCTGACTTTTTTATTGCTGTTACGTCACCGTTACTAACTTCGTCTTTATCATCGTCATTATCGAATGCTCTTTCGTCAAACTCCTCGTCTTCAGCCGCCACTTCGCTTTCACTGGGTGACAGAAAAAAGATTACAAAAGATAAACTTGAACGAATTGGTTATTTGTTAAAGCTGGTTTAAATGGGGGCCTATATAACTGATCAACATCGAGGTCACAGCACAACACCAGGAGCTACGTCCCCTTCTCCTGGCGAGAGGTGTGTGGGTTCCCCTGGGTTCCCCTGCTAACCACTCCAGAAGAAAATGCAGGAGACGGTTTATCATCCTTTTCCGAGAAGACTAGAACATCTAACTATTTGCAGGTGTCACATTTAAGGCAACAAATTTTTCTTAGTTACTTTAAGATCCTGACTACATTTTTGCTGAGAATCGTCGCTCAGAACATTTGACCACACAAGTTTCCAAAACTATCAAAAATGATTTTATCTTCCTCAACGTACCTTTTGGGGATTGCCACATCATTGTCCTCTAGGTCTTCTGCATCGAACTCTTCATCGTTCTCTTTCATGTCGTACTCGCTGAAACATGAAGAAAAATAATGAAACCATTTCCACTGCATAACTTCAGAATTGTCCATAAGTCTAAAGCATAATCCACTTTCAGAAAAATAATTCATTTATGAACTTAACTTTAGATTCCATAATTTTAAAATAAACCTTCAATACATTTCAGTTCGCCCCCGCTAGCTCACTGGATTGTCTTCGAATGAATTGCCATCTCCCACCAGAATCTAGTTTCTGTTCTTCTTCGAAACAGGAGAAAATCCGGATAAACGGCATCTTTATGAAGTACATTTTTTTACTACAGTTATCATTTCTAGTGAATTTGTCACACAACCTACCCTCGAAGTTTTCCTCCTTCAAATTCATTTGTTATCTCGGCCAGCTCATTTTCAGTTACTGCGACTGAAAAGCCGACAGCGAGTACAAAGCCAAACAGAGCTAAAATAACAGATGTCTTCATTTTGTCCTCTACGTTAGAACTTGAGTTCTCAACTGTTGGTAGCCCCAAAGCCCACTGCTTTTATGCATCCCATTCTGGGTGATATTAAAATCTGTTTCGTCCTGATCCTCATTTCACTCGATATCTGATCATAGGATGTAAACCCTCGAGAATCTGTGAAAAACAGACTGAAAAATACACTTGTAGGTCTTAAAGATATTGATCCGTCGATTAATGATGTTATTAAGGCCTACTCTGAGACCTTAAGTCGCCTTAAGTCGCCTTAAGTCGCCTAAAGTCGATTAAAGTCACCTTAAGTCGCCTTAAGTTTCCTTAGGTTGGTATTGGTTACGCAATGTTATAAGGGTTCAACCCTTCCCAATTGACCCTATCCACTCCAATCATAAGGATCAGAGGAGGAGGCATGGTGGCCGTATAGTTGTGCACTGGATTCAACATTAAGCGGTCCAGTTTTGGTCTCTAACATTGGAGCATTGCATCTTGTTCTTGGGCAAGATACTGTAAGCTTCAAAGTGTCTTACCTATTCCGGATGTAAATATGGGTACTGGTTGGGGGGGGGGGGAGAGGTAACCCTGCATATGAATTATTGTGAGGATGGTAATGGCTTCCATATACATGGAAACCCCTTGGGAAATATTCATACACCTGTCTAGCCCCTGTGCTAGCATGGGTAATTCCAACATGCAGACAATGCTGTTGTAGGAAATATCACAATCTTCCATTTTTTAAATCAAGCAGCTATCTGTTTCAACTGAATTTCTTTCTTGTATTTCATGATGAAAAAGTGGATCAAAAGGTTGACACTGTGTATTATCATCAGGAAACAATAAATATTGAATCAAATCAAACCTACAGGTACGAATCATCATGATAAAACAAAAAAAAGGTATTCTGGAGAAAGGCTCAATTCTTGCCACTCACCTATACATTGAACAGCAAAAATAATATTATCAAAAGTCAATCGAACTCAACTGAAGATAAAGTTTAGCCACTTAACTTACACGGAGTAAAAGAGTGACAAAAGTGCGCCATTTCTCTAGTATAAACCCATTAATCTGTACTAGTTACTTCCACCATCATATTCGACCAACTGAAAACATTTGAACTTTGTAGCTCGACGAACCTTCTAAACTTGTAAACATTCCTCTATCTTGAGACTTTGATAGTCTTTTTGTAAATTTCATTTTCATTTTCATTTTTTAATGAAACTTCAGTAATCTTAAAGCGCCCATCACAACTTAGAAGAATTAATTCTAAACGTGAACTTAACAGTTACTGGTTACCTAACTCTGAATAATTAATGTTTACGGCGATACATTGTAAATTTGTGACAACAACCTATATTATAGGATAGGAATATAGACATAAACAAGGAATATTAAACCTTTGAAAAAGCATAACACTGCGTCCCAACATGTACATTTGATTGACTGATCATGTCTTCATACTTGGGCATTGTCAAATAAAACGTTAATAAATATTTATGTCATTCAGATGGTATAGTGGCACAGCAGTTTTCAAAATCTTCAAGATCTACAATGTTGAAATTAAATATCTTCAAATTAATTGTGTTACAAAGTTTATCAACCGCTCTGTAATTATGTCTGCATGCACACTCCGCAGTGGTCAAATGCACTAGTTCCTGTAACATCTGTTATTCATGTCTTAATTTTTCTTTAATCTTCCTCATCAAGCTAAATGATAAGATAGTAAATGAAAAGATGAGCTTTGTATGCTGCATGTAAGTTAAGGTACCAGGTAAATGTCAAATTCACTTTTGAATCTGAAGTCATAATAAAATGATGGAAACAATTAATGTCAATTATTTATGTTTCTGTATCTCATTCCGTTTTTCTCGACACTTCTTCCCACAAGTTTAACATAACTTGGCTGCAAATGAGAAAAGTTTAAAAAAAATAATAAAAACATAGAAATACACTTAAAAGCTCTTGCATGTCGTTGTTGATCGCTAAAGTTGTGATAACAGTACGGACGTCATTTACCCACGCGATGCAGCAGATTGCGGCTGATGGAAAAAGTAGTGTGGTTCTCGCATTTCAATGCTGTTTATCAATTTATTAACAGTTTGAGCTACAATTGACCTGGGACAATAGATCGCTTAAATCATCGGTTAACTTGCTTATTAACTATGACGCGTTGGTTCCATTCGCGTATTGAGTGTTTTGGTATTTGCTAATGATGGCGTCCAAGTCATCCAACTTCCTCAATGGCCTGGAATTTTATTTCATTACCAAAAAGCCTTACAAAGTTCAGAGATTTGAAGGGACTGTAGCGACCGCTTCAATGAAAACACCACGCTCGCACGTGCTTTTTCCTCGTGGAAATGATTATCATTCCGGCCTGCATTCTTTCCATTCCACACAGCCATAGAAAAAGTCCGCCTTGTGTCTATTGACTGGTTACCTGCTTGTATTGCGGAAAGAAAATCCTACCAGTGACACAATTCGAGGTAAAGTAAAGGAAATTTTTCGGTAAGATATGGGCGTACTTGGCGAGAGAGGTACGGGCTGAATGAAGAGAAACCCTCCAAGTGCCCAGTTCCTCACTTCAAAGCATGGAAACTACTTAGCGGCGCAAAGATTACTGGGAGAATCAAAATGGCGGACACTAGAAAGTTTGTTACCAGTTTGTAGAATTTCCTTGTGACTCGTTAGTTTCTGGACAGGTTCAAGGTAACAATGAATGCCATTAAACCTGTTATTCTGCCACCAGACCAAAAAAAAACTTATCTAACTTTTTTTAAGGTGAAACACTGCGGGGTAGAAAAAAGTGAATGCTTATAACTTTTCCTTTAAGTTCGAGTTTTGTATTTTTTTTTTTTTGGCAGATGGCACCCTTTACTTTAATTTCATTAAATATATTTGATTGACACATACCACGCCCATATGACCAGTGGTTTTTATAGTTCACGTTTCATATCAATAAAGATTTTATTTATCTGTTGGTAAGAAAAACATACCATATAAAAAGCATACGCCTACTCGCTAAAGAAGATGTTCGCTTCAGAAGCCATATAAGGATTTGCACTTCCCCTTCTACAACGTAAACATTAAATTCACGCACTGCACCTGCGTTAAAACTATTATGAAATATTTAGCTCGTTTAGTCAGTCAGATAGTTAGTTCAGTATAGTTAAGTTGTTCTATTATATTTAATTAGAATGCAGTTACTGTGCATGAATTCAAAGTCCGCAGTTATTTTGATTTGAACTATCGTGATGAGTTTCCCACTTGTGGCACTCTTGTCTAACTTACATAAAAGGAGTGCTTAGTTTTTCTACAGATCTTACTTTGGACCCACGAGAAAGTTCTTCAAGGTTGTGGCTAACGTAGTCAGAGGCTGAATCAGTTAATCAGAGGCACTAAGTACTTTGTTGTTCATTTCGTGAAATTGTTTGGGTTAGTGTTCTAACGACCAATTTTTAATCTCCCAAAGTCAGCCAGCTGGCAAGCCCATATCTATCAATAGTGTATATTTAAGCATGTTTTGAAGAGCAGAAAAAGGCAGCTGGAGAGCCCCTCGGTGCCTGACATTTGATAGCCTTCAAAATTACTCTACGTTCTACTGAAGAAGTCGCCATTTGAGTCTTAGTAATTCCTCTTTCATTTCTTGGCAATCAGTTTGAGCATTAAGAAGCTAAGCAAAGAAGCACTTTTGACTAACAAAAAAGACCTTTTTTACGATTGCTGCTGCTGTTTTTGTTCCGTTTAGGTTTACTTCAACGGCTAGGTTATTAAGTTCTCTTCAAAATGGTTGCATCTATGTTCGAATTATTACCACATTTGATAACAATTTTCGAACGGTTAGAATACCTTTGGAATCTCAACACGCTGTTAGTAGGGTTCTACTGCAACAAATACATACTCGCACCAGGGTATTCTAATACAAAGTCAAACTGTCCTTAGCCATAACTTGGTTGGAAAATGTGCGATTCGAGCAAACGTCGAGTTGTTCAAAATGGCGAATGTGAGTAAAATTTGAGAGCAGCAACTAAGAGGAGTTGCTAACAACACAGCTGTATATTGCGATCCCTTATATAGTACTTGATAAAAGTAATCGAGACGATTTTTCATCAGGTTGTAGGAAAGAAGTGCACGAAAATAAAAGTGTAAAATTTTGGTTATCTAAGTGGTATACTAAACCACTGTTAACATATGAATGCCATGAATTTGAACTGCAGATTAATAAATGAAGATGATCATCGCAATTAAAAACAATTTTAAAGCAGTGATGAAAATTCAGCCGAAAAAGAAAAAAAACAGTACGCTATGCAGGAATTGAACCCGTGACCTCTGCGATAGCGGTATAGTGCTCTACCAACTGAGCTAACAAGCCAACAACTGTGAGATGTTGGTTCGATACTAACTCGTAGTGGAAAAATTGGATTCTCACGAATGAACGAAATCTTGTTTTATTTCAAAGAAGTTTATACTCCATTCCCCAAATGTCAGTTCAAGTTGTTCCTTTCCAATCCGTGTATACAAAACAAATTTGCTCAAATCTTTAACAAGTCACACACTTTAGATGCATAAAGAAAACATTTAGAACTGTTGAATAGACGAATAAAATAAAATCAAAGAGTTTTAAAATCATTTAACCTAGCAAAGCTGCACAGTTGAATGGGTAAATGGTTACTTTTTTTCTTAAAATTCTTTTTACACCAAAACCATATGATTGTAAATATTATCAAACTATATGGTTTACCTGAAAAAAATCATTATACGGACCCAAGTGCGTTGTTTAGTCTACTTTTTTTTTAACAGATTCTCGAAGGTCAACCTTCCATGATCAGATATCGGGTGAATTGAGGATCGGAACGAAAAAAATAGAATGAACGACTGTAAACATATGAATATCATATGTAAGTGGAAACAATTTCGATCTTTCCAAATCCTCTTATACATATTGCATAACTGGTTAACCAGCTAGGCAGAACACAGTAGTGAATATTATAATTCACATTATTTCAGCTTTTCAT